CCTGCCCTCCGCCCTCGTGCCTGGCCGTTTACCGTTCGCTAAATAACGGCGGGCTAGATAAACGCGTTATTGATTTGTTGTATCAATACTGAGGAACGGAGCTGTATCGCTCTGTTCCGCTTCGGCTCGCGGGGCAGGGGGGAGGGGCGGGCTGGGAGGGATATATTGTCACACGTTCCGTTAAGCGGAGACGTCCGAATCGTCGTTGACGTCGGAAGAGTCCGCTCGACAGCCGGCGACCAGCAGCAGCACCTTCGACGCGCTGCTCGGGACACGCGAGGTTACATCACGCGGCTCATTTGTAGTGATTTCATACGTTTAATCCCGTTGAGAAAATTGACGAATAATACGTCGGACGCGGAAGAGTCTCCGCACCGAGTACTTTTGTTTCTCCCACCGTCTCGCGGCGATAAAACGGATCGGTCGCGCGGCGCGCTTAATTCGTCGAACGAAATCGGACTTTGCTCCCACCGAGAGAGCTGCGACGCGCTGATTCCGCGAGAGAACTTCGCGCGTCGTCTTGTCAGACAGGGGAAAGTCATTTTCGTGCGCGTTTTCCCGACGCGGGGAAATTCGTCGGGTGTCGTATCGATCGATCGACCGACCGACCGACCGGGATGGACGTAGCTTCGCGCGCGGGATTCGCTTATCGCGCCGCGGTCGAGACGAATGCGACGAATCGAGAGGATGGAAGGCGCGGCAGAGGAATTACCGGACTCGCGACGGGCAGAATCAGGCGCGAGCCGAGACTATATCTACATTAGCGAAAGGCCATCGCGCAGATTTACACAGAGCGTAGAACGTAAACGTAGAAGCGCGTCGGCCGGTCACACGCGCGCGCGCACTTTACACGCCTATGCAAACACGCATATACACATACACATATACACACACGAGAGCACACACACTACTACGACGTCAGTCATAGACCGCGGAGTCTCGCGTCGTGATAGGTCGACTCGTTCCTCTGTAAATCTGCGCTCGATGATCGAGAGCCTCGGAGACCGACGAATCCTGCGAATCCTCGTCGTTTTGTAAGCGATATACGAAGACTACCCGTCCCCTCCCGCCCCCGCATCACACACATTTTATCACGAGCCACCGGCATGGTACATGACACACGCACACACACGTACACACACACACGCGTACCAATCAACCACCACCTATCGTTAGACCGTAAGTCTAGAATCTAAGGCGATCCATTTAGATTTATCTTCGTTGTCTATATGTGTATAAAAAAAATCGCGCGTGGACGGTGTCGCGGTCGGTCCGCCTGTCGTTCACGATTACGGAGCGCGTCGGAAAGAGAAGGACGACGATGACTATGATGACGAGGCGTCGTTCCGGGAATGCAATCGCGCGAACGTTTCCTTTTCCTTCTTTCTTTCTTCTAATTTTTTTTTTTTCTTTATAATACACGCGTTTTATTTTGGAGAAACAAAGGGCGAGGGAGGGAGCGAGAACACACGACGTGCGGAGAGATATCACTCGTTCCCTCCTTCACACGGTGTGTCTCTCGACTTGGTAGAAAGTCCGGAAGGATCGAGTGTGGCTATTGTGTTACTTCTTTCTCTCCCTCCTTCTCTCTCTCTTTCTCGTAATAAAATATGGTTACATATATACATATATACATATATATATATATATTACAATATATACGATATAGTTATATACATATACTTATATGAATATAAATATATACACACACACACACACATATTTAGATATATTACGAATGCGAGAGCAGCGATCGGAGGTGGAAGCGGGATTGGCGTTTGTCGAGTTGTCCAAAGTGTACACGGCGAAATAATTCATGAATATTTATAGCCGCCGTTTCTCCGAAAAACAAAAACAGGAGAGAAGCGCAGGCATGCATTAAACTAGGAGAAACCGATAAAATCTTGTTAGTATTCAGTGCACTCAGTGCTGGGCTACGAAGGGCAGGCCGTAAAAATTCTCCGTCGACCACAACAACGACCACGACGACCGCGACAACGACGACGACGACGACGACGACGACGACGACGACGGGGAACGTCCGTTTAAGTCTAACGGGTGTGCGCTTTGTGTCGAGTTCGACGTACGTGCGTATGTATGTACGAGCGAATGCGACGAGCGAACGTGTTCCCGGGCGAAGAATGATATTAGCAATATTTCTCTCTTGCTGGCTCGCACCTTGCGTGGCAAGTTTTATTGCCAAGTGGCGACAGATAAATATTGTCCTTGGCTTCTTGTTAAGGCAGCGCGCGCGCGACGCATCGATGCATAATCATGCGATGCGTGCACGAGGAAATCGCGTGAGAAGGAAAGAATGAGTGAGCGAACGCGTGAATGAATGAATGAGAGATGGAGAAGGAGAGAAGAGGGAGAAAGAGCGAGCGAACCGCTGCTTTAATAACATCGTCGTCGATATTTTTCTTCGGGGATTCTTATTGGTCGCGCGCGCGACAAGCCTGTCGCGGATGTTCGCTCGTGTTTCATCCGATCGCGCGATGCG